AGATATGTTAGCTCTGGAACGTGAGTTAGCAGCATTGATGAAGAATTAGATAGTGCATTCAAAGGAGGTGATGAAGCAGCTGGTTTATTAGCTGGTGGTTTTCCCGGTGCAGAAGCTCTTTCCGTTGAAGGTTTACCTGGAGAATCGGCTGAAGAAAGACGTTTGGAGAAGCGTTCCAAAGTATTACTACGTATGTTACATGCACACCAACAACACATGGTTGGGAGGAACCCTTAACTCTACAAGCTTTATGTACTGGCAATACAAAGAAGCAGGTAAGCCAATATGTTATAGTGTTAATGAATTATATATATATATATATATATATATATATATATATACTCAAAAGATCAATTCCATAGTCATGAAAAAAAACTGGAAAGAGTGATGGTGCTTTGGTATTACATGAACTCTGATGTTTTGTCGTGGGCTTTTCTTCGCCAGATTTAGTGACATCCTCAACACTAACTTCATACGGTTTGTCACCTAATGAAAAAATAGGTAAAATTGTGATAGTAGGTTGAATGCTAATGATATACTGACATTGACACAATTATTGCATTCTTTCTGCTTACTTGCCGATTTCTATCTCAGTGATATTTTATTCCTAATAAAAACAAGTATTTTCTCCAGAAAACTTGTTATTTACAATGTCATGAGGTTCCCTGTTGGTTTTATCCACCATCGATACAACCCCGAAACCCATTGACATGACCGAGCGTGGAAAGAATCAATTCTTTTGCTAGAAATGCATTCACAGCTTTTATCATCGAAAGTACACCTACCTCTGTAACGTCGCTGGGGTGTTTTCAAAAGAATAAAAGGGAAGAAATGAATGTTCCCAAGCTTTTCACCAGATTATTGGATATGAGGCGTCCATCCAGAAAAGCTAGAGACTTCTGATTCTAACTAAACTAAGTGATGCAAATAAGCTCGAGTATTCAACAAGAATGATTGGTGCATAAACCTAATTTAGTTAGCGCCAACCATGAGAATGCAGCATTTGCGATTATTTTGCTGCCTTGTAGATTTGACTTCAAGTCGAAACCTCAGTGATTGATCTCTTCATACGACCCACTGCTTCTGTTCAAGTTTCGCATTAGTGTATTAGCCGTCAATGAATCTTACAGTGCATTTTAAGATATCCGTGTTGTAAAGTTTTTTTTAAAAATGATAACTGAAAAATACTTTCGATTTAGGCATTTGTGTTATGTAAATGTTTTGTTTGTTACAACAGTGAACCTACTATTAATTTTTTTTAATGTGTTGTCTTTCTGTTCTTCTACCATTTTTTCAAATTATATTTCAGGCGGCTTCAAAGTTCTATACCGTATTATTACTTCGCAAACAAGGCGCTGTGGAGCTGGCACAGGATGCTGCATATTCAGATATTTATATATCGGCTGGAACCAACTTTTTCCGTTTAGCAGAATCATAATCATCTATCTTTTTATGGTTTCTTATCTTCGCTTTCCTGTTCTATTCGCCTAGGGTTGATATATTTTTTCTCTTCCTTATTTTCTAACGTATTTTCTTTCGATGTTCAAATCGACCGTGCACAAATTATATATTTGTTGACTGTCGCTATTATCACGCTACATTATTGTAACTGCATTTCATAGTAGCAACTTTCTGTTTATTTGCTATTTATCACTTTCATCTCTTTGTCTTGCTTTGATGTTAATTATATGTATAATCCAGAATCGTAAACGTATTTTTTTGTACTGTCAATCGAATACTTTAACCATTAAAAAGAGTTTGCTAAAGCTTTTCCTTTTGATAGATTCTGTATTGTCTTTCAGGGGAACAGTAAGATGTTTTAAGCTGGTGTTGTCTTTATGTGTGCAACTGCTATATATCTTTGAATAAGTAGGTACGTAGTCTCTTGAAAAGTCCAAGATAATCTGGAAGAAACTATGAAGTTTCAGTTTGTACCCACCTTGTTCGTCCACCACAGGGTTTTATATACTCCTCCATGAATAATCAGCAAACACGAAACATCATTTCAGTGCTCATTACAAATAGTCTTTATTCATTCAGCGTCACGGGAACAGCGTCATAGTGCCAGGTTACTTGATATAATTTAATAGCCTTAATGTAGAAATAACTCCGTACCTTTATTGTAAGCTGGCGTAACAGTTCTTCGCTTTAAATTTTCGAAATGAATGAAAATTAACATTGAAACAGTTGCGTCTTCACCATTGGACTTAAGGGATTAGAAAAAAGTAGATTAGTGAGGTAAACGGTTTATGGATTACAGCAAAATCTTGATTATTCTTGAGAGCTACAAACTTGACATGGTGGTCGGAATGTACATCAAAATGACCCAACGAGGTATTCTGATGTGACGCTGGTTCCTTTGGAGTCCTACCATACCAGAAAAGTCTGTTAGATAGTGGTCCGAAAAAAAGCGGTTGCTGTTATAGTGTAGATTTTTATACTGTGTTGGAGTTCGAGGTCGAAGTTGTACTACTGGCTGGACGGCGTGTTACAGCAGTAAGGTGTTTCCCTTAGATGCCAGCAGTATAATGCCTATGAGAAGGGGGGCTACAAAAGATTCATCCTACAAAGAGCACTCTACCACGTGGCATACTGAGGCTGACAGTATGTGCTCGTAATCGGATTCGAATCCCAAACTTACAAAGAGGATTTGTGGTGGGACTGAAAAAGATGTCCTGTTAGTTCTTTGTCATGCACTAACATTTTTCCAGGTATCCCAAGGAGAACTAACCTTCCATGGTATGTGAATCCAGGAAGTGTCAACCGCCCTCACAATCCAACCAGCACTCTAGTTTCCTCAGATTATCATTGACTTCCCACATTTATGCATTCTAGCATTTCGAAACTACCAATCAAAATTCAAGCGTTATTCTCTAGCTCTACAACTGCTGTTAACGATTCTAGTTCGTGAAAATAGATCTCTGGTTTCCTGAAACCGCTCTCCAAACTATACATTTAAGTTTTCACTCTCCGTCAAATAGACCGACTAGCTTCGCTAGCCAAAATTCTCGCATTTCAGACCATGGATGCGTGCTGTGTTTTCGAAGCATGCATACAGGACCGAAGAGCGGTTATTCACTCAGCCTCAACCGGCCATTATAGTGAATCTGTGAATTCCACTCATCGAGTTTCTGGAGATTCGATGACTAGTTCTCGTCGTCTTATCTGTGTATGTATAGAATTAAGTGCTATGACGGAAAGTGTACCGTTCGACTGGATCCCATTTGACAGTTGTTTCTCTTCTGTTTCGCTGAACAGTGGAGTGAGGACTAAGGAGTAGTAAGACTTGCTGTTATCTGTTTGTAGGTTCTGCATACGTGGCCACTGACTGCAGTTCGGAATGAGTTAGGGATGAGTTGTATGGAGGACTACTGAGATGTGGTAGTTGTTGCAGGTGATTTCAATTCACCATTGGGTGGGCTGTCTGACAGAAAGACACTGAGTTGGGACATTCGGAATCCTCGCCGAACAAATGGATAATGGCGACGGTAGTTCGCATGTTAATGCTAACTGACAATGCCAAATCCTGCACTCATGTTACCTGACCAACATTGACTGAGTGAGGTACTTGTTTGAACTCCCATGTATGTGTGTATAAAGTAACAGCATCGCTGATATGACCATACAGCCTTTTCCTAGTATTGTTATGGTTGTTGCCATCCTTTTTATTACGATTTTTTGCAGCTGAGCCAGACGATGATGATGAGAATTTCGGCGGTCGAATCGTCCATTCATTGTTCACTGATGGGATTTTCGAAGATCCGTCAGCTCAAAAGCAACTTGAAAATTTAACTTCTGAAATTGAATCTCAGATGGTGACAACTAGATTTGGTCTTCATCCTGAAGCAGATATCGCTCCCATCCCGACATCTAGTCATGAAGACCTAATGCCAACTGGTGGTGGTGATTCTATTGTCAGCAAACCGTTGGACGCATTCCTGACTACTACGACATCAGAGACAACAATGACGTCAGGCACTACTGTGTATATTCCTTCAACTACAGCGCCAACAGACACAACAACACCTGCATCGAAATTGGTCTCGGGACAACTACAATGACAGAGAGTACAACACTTATTGGCAGTGAATCTGAGACTTTTGCGTTACCGCCTGTCGATGTAACAGGTGCAACTGGAGTGGAATCAAGAAGGTGAATTACTTGCTTTTATTCGCTTACATTTAAAAGAAACGGTTTCTTTTTCACAACACCTATCAAATGAGTCACTCCCTTCATAGAGAGTGAGTTTGTTGTTTCCAGCCAGGTAATTTAACCTCGTAGCTCAGTTAGTAGAGCATCGGGCCGGAAGCCCGGTGGTCGCTGGTTTGAATCCAGCCGCGGTCCAAATTTTCATTTCACCTTCAATCATCACCTAGTATAATTTAAAATGACAAGTGTGATATGTGTGAAAATTTTACAGTCCCTCTGAATCTTGGTATTCAAATATTTTAGTTGTGAATTGGTTTTTTTACTTTCCAGTTACACACAATATGATGCAACGATCTAATCGATCTGCATACAATAAAATAGAACTTACACTGGTAAGATGCTGGCCGAGTAGTTAAATTTGGCTGGGTAAAATAAGTTGCGACTAGCTTCCACTGTTAATCCTGAATATGTTGATGTAAGTTTTGCAATGAAAAAAATGCACTGTGATGCATCTTATTGGAAGGCAACTGAGGATTCCTCTTGAGCATAAATTTAATGCACCCCTGAAAACCTCAGCCATCCTATTAGAGACACTTCAGTTTGCGTGTTCAAATCTCGGTTGACCTTCTTGCAGGAATATGCTACGTTTACAGATCTCGATTACACTTATTTCACAGCAACAAGTGAAGCCTTCAGTTATAGAATTATCGGTCAAAGTGACGGGTATTAGGTAGCGTATGGCAATTCGATATGATCCCGTCTGAATGACCTCAATGGATCGTTATCTCCGTCTTCAAGAAATCGTCTTCTGATAGACATAGGAGAATCAGTCTGAGGAACATATTTTTCTAAGGTGTCGGTTTCCATAATTATCATTCGTCTAGTTGGAGGTCAGGAACAGAACCCGCATAAACCTTGCAGGTTTCAGACGTGGTCGTTGTTGTGTATTCGTCAGATATTCACCGTCCACTGGGTTCTAGGACGCAGGAAAATATACCGACACTGGCAGTCTTTCTCGATCTGAAGACGTCATTCGATGACGTGGTTGGAGAGTTATCATGGTAGTGTATGTCAGTGGAGTGGGTGTCGGGTAAGTCATCATTCTGTTGCAGTCTGTGTACTCGAAAATCCGTTGGTGTGTTGAGTTATCAGTTGAGTTGAATGCGTCTCGCTGTGTTCATCGAGGATGTGTACTCTCTCTATTGTTATTCGATTTCAACGTAAATGTAATTATGGGGGTCTCCCTCTCGTCATCTGATACCACACAGATTAAATTGTTACAGCGTACTGAGGATACATAGTCCTGCTAGACGGAGAGTCTGACATGATCCAAGTCTTCTAGATGTCTTGAGTGGGAATTCGAGAATGTTTGAGATGCGTTTCTCACCAGTGGAATGCAAATTATAGTTGCAGGATTGGTGTATGTTAGTGTGCTCCGCCTAGCGGTAGAGAGTGGAACGGTTGATTGCGTTGTCCACTTCACTTACTTGGGAAGTCGGGTGAGCCGTGATTGGCTGGTGGCCGATAAAATCTCTGCTCGGGTACAAAGGGCTCACATGTCTTTTACCAGATCAGGTTATTTACGGCATCGGTGTGATATGTGATTTGCTATTAATGGTGGAGTGTGTTGCGCTTCACTTTGCTCTTCATACTTTATGACTGGGAAAAATGACCAGTTTAGACAGAGTATAAAAGGATGTTTTAGGTTTTCGAAAACCGTTGGCTTCGTAGTGTGGAGTGTGTTTCGTCATCACGTTAGTAATGCAGAAATCAGTCGTAGATTTGTAAGAAGAAGCGAGTCAGTTGTTGAGATTTTGAAGCTTCATCGAGTGATGTGGTTGGGACGTGTGTTACTCATGCTCAGTCACTGTCTGCCTTGTCACACAACGTTAACTGATATAGTTTTAAGCTGGTGTAAGTTTAGGGGTGACTAGACTGAAGCATGTCATCAGTGCATGAACTCTTTGACTGTTGGACTTAGCGGTATAGGAAAGTGTAGATTTGCTGATCAGCATCTTGTGACAACAGAAATCGGTGGTTGGAAACTCTAGGTGATATGTCTCTTAACCAATCTCATCGGCACACATTATCCTTATCCTAATCGTCGTACTGGAACCGGTGTTTTCTTATTTCTCTTTTCTCTTCCGTACAACCTACTGCTTCTGTTACCCGACTCCTGTTTCTTTATCTGTCATCTTATTACTTCGTCGCCTGATGAGCTGATATGAGGTGTAGCAACCTGGAGCTTTATGCAGTGATTCCTGTTAATAGTGATGACAATAATAATGGCTTTATTCTGAAAGATATTACGGGAATACTGTACAAACTTTCCAGCATGTCACATAGTATCAGTTAGTCAGAAATTGCGCATATGTATACGTAATAAAATGAAACAAGTATTAATTACCGATCAAAGATAAGAATAATACTCCATTTACAACCTTTTTGAAAATACGGAGTTAACTTAGATAAAGAACCACATCGGGAATTAGATTAATAATAAGTATATAACACTAAGCTGTGTACTCAATAATTAGTCTGCTTACAAAAATAAAAGTTATTCAGTAAGTTTATTTGTAACACTTTCTTCGTCTTACAGGATATGAGCAAGATGCCGTATTGTGTTTTTATGTTTAGTAGTAAATGCATAGCATCTTATGGACTTGCTTCTGGTCTTGCCTGACGGCCAACACGCAGAGTTTTGAGTGAAGACGACGCTCGTCATCTGATAAAATAACTCCTGCGAGATGTTAACATGAGTCAAGATATTTTTCCACAACAGCATTCATTAGAAGGTTTAGAGGTAGACTACTAGTTCTGTTGACAATATTCAAAGTTCTATGTAATACAGAAAAGTCTTCTTTTAGCAACTCAGGAAAGAATAAAGGGAAACAACAGAGGAGAATAGATAAGATGCAGAATTTTATAAAACAAGAGAAAAGGCCGAGTTATAACAGAAACTCTCAGCTTCTTAATAATGGAAAGGTGCCAAATTATTTTGGAAATTAGTAAGACGTAGGGGGACTAGAAAGCGTCAGGACAAAAAAACATATGTAGAGATGAATCACACTTGTAGCATTCTCTAACACATAACCATCAATAGAACAGGAATCATGAGACCTACTCAGTTCACATAGGTTATATTCGCGTCTGAAACTAAAGTTTATAGGGTGACATTTTGAAGAATTAAGCACAACACCATTCACATGGGACCATGGTTTAAAAGTAGATAGAAAACAGTTCAGTTGGGAACAATCTGTTGAAGAGGAGACAGGTATGGGAACTTTCAAGTCATCAGCATATTTGATAAAACTAATACCACCTAAAGATGATAAGTCATGCAAAAAGAAAAGGAAAGACCAGAGGAAAGGATGGCATCATGGGGAACACCTTAGTAAGCAATGGGGTGGAGTGGTTCCTTCTATGAACTGTATATTGTTTCCTTCCAGAGAAATTGGAATACAGTTAGCTGATTATCTAGGACTCAGCGTTTATCCCGGCTAAATTGTCCAGTAAAAGAGGTCTTGGGGTATACTCAAATCCTAAAGTATAGTCTCAAATGCACAACTGAATTATTTGACAGTTCTATATCAAGATTCCAAGCAATATTTTGGTATAAGAGAGTGGTGACATCCATGACGCTTTGTTTGCTTTTATATGCAAATTGATTAGGATCTCCGAACACCTTCAATGAGGGTTCAAGAATAGTTATTATTAGCTTCTCCATTATTTTCAAGAATGGAGAAGTAAATGCATTCGGATAGAATTAAGGACATGCGCCTACAGTCACCGGCTTAGGTACGGAGACTATCCTAATATCTTTCCAGGCAGCTGGTTTAGTGTTTTCTGAAAGTGATCCATCAAACATGTTAGCTAATGGATGACATAATATATCAGCACACTCCGTGAATACGAAACTCGACATGCCATCAGGACCTAAACTGTGTGAAGAGTTCAGGGATTTGAGGACATTTGAAAACATCTTTCTGGGTGAATTTCGAACAACATTCTTTTTGGGAGGATGCGGACAAAGTGGTAAGAGACCGATGGGTTGACATATAATAGGTTTGTTTAGAGCACAGATGTCAATAGGTGCTTCTTTATTAAGGTATTTACTACCAGTTAGGTCCATATGGTGGAAGTCTTTGGATGATAAAAGTCTCTAATTGTATAGTAGACTCAGACGTTTAATTTCTCACGTGATTAAAAAGCTCGGTCGAAAAGCATCAGCATTATCACTTACTTTATGTAACCTTTCTTTTCATCTTCCTAGTCTCTTAAGTTGTGGAGAAGATATACAGTAGAAGTGCAGAAAACGTTTTTCACTGGGGCAACAGATATACAGGTAAAACTTGAGATAGTATGTCACACTATCAGTAGTGTCGTTCAATACATCTCTGTCAAATATATTCCAGTCTGTACACTATAGCATTTTCTTAGATTAAGTATGTTACCATATGAATAGTATCTACGTACTATTTTCTTAAATATGAATGCTCCTTTGCGTAGTTTGCCATATATTTTGGGCAAAACACATATAATTCAATGATCTGAGCAGAATAATGGGGTTCTCTTTCGAGTTTCATATATATCCGTATTACTGACGAATACCAAGTCTAGTGTTGCATCGTAACATGTGAAGTTAACAAGGTTTTGATGACCAAGAGTTTTCAGAAGCTTCAGTCACAAGAATTGAAATCACCACATATTGCTGATCCTTTGTTGATGATGATTGTTTTCGTAGAAAGTCTCTTGATAAATTAGGAAAGCTCATAGTTCAATAAAGTCTTCTAACCAATCCAAAGTGTATGCCTGTCTGTTCTTCTGGTTCAGGCAGAGACTCACATAACAAATGAGGAAAAATAAGTATTACCTGGAAATTCAGACGCATCATTTAAGGTTCTCAAACCTCACAAGAGAACCTAGATACGGATGGCAGAAAGCTTAAAAGTTGTAGAACATAA